CTCAGACAAGTACAAGTTATTCGTGACGAACAAGCAGTAGTCGCGGTCGCCAAGGCCAGGGCCGCACAGGAGCTTTCGGTGGACAAATAAAGGATCGATGCCCCTATGATTGAAATCGGGAGGGAGGTTTGGAATTCGCTAAGGACTGGCTTGGGCCAGCCACAGTGTTGGCTCACGTAGCAGTCATGCACGTTATCTATGACGAGGCACACATTCAACAAAGAATATCACCTCCACCTGAAGAATATCGAGTATTACATTCCACCGATTGGCCGTAAGGATCGCCGACCCATGGGCACGATTGCGTCTACACCATTTGGCTATTGGATGACTACTCCTCCCAATTTGTGAAAGCGGATGACGAACATACGCAATTAGTGGTCACAGCGTTCCGAACTAGTGTGCCTGCTCAGCGCTATTTCGGTGCATGCAATGGCGTTTTCCGCCATTGGAATGCGGTTCCAAATGTTACGGGGCGTGCACGTAGTGGCGTTTCATGATTGACGATGAGAGTCACTTTATTGATTTTGCCACTACTATTCATATCCTTAATTCTAAATAGCCCTAACCTCCCTCAAGAAGGCCTACTGTTTTGCTAATAGCCGACTGGAACGCGATAGCCAGTTGGCGAAGTGGAACGCCATACATCAGGCCATCACCTTTTCTTGAGTCTACACTACTGCAGTTTTGAGTCCCCAAACTCGGACGAATTTGACGATCGCCAAATTCGACGACTAAGGGGGTTGTAATAGCAGTGGTATAATACATCCAAACCTGGATGAGAGAACTCATTCTGTCCTGTCATACTCCGGAGCCATAAGACTGGGTACATGTACGCTCAGCCAGACTCTTGGACTAGCCAGGATATCTCTACAGTAGACTACGGAGTCCTAGGACCAGACCTTCAAGCTTTACTAAGTGTACGGTCGACTACATCTGAAAAATCTCAGAAAAGTGAATGATGGGCATCTATTCACTGATCGTTTGCCATGGTTCATGATACTTCCTATTAGACTATATGAATATGTAATTATGGTTGTAGTACACTACATACCAATCATACGACTGTTTAGGAAAAAATTCCTACGCCAAACGGATATCTGGAACAACAATCAGTACCAGTGACAAAATATTCATTTACTTGTTTAGTTTGAAAATTTAAAAAAAAATACGGAAGACATGCAAATTGCAAAAAAAAAATCAATAACGTTTGGAGAGACTTCCAAGCTCACTGAGAGACTACAGGTTTCAGTCTAGATTTTACAGCAAGAAACCCTCTATTACTTATAGAAATCATCAAAGTTAGCTCACTCCCGAAAGCTATTTAAGTTACTTAACTTACTTCTGAATACGTAAACGACTTCTGAGCGATGATTAAGTTTCTTAACCCACTCCCGAGAGTTGACTATGTTTGTTAGCCGCGACAATCTAAAAATAGCAGCGTCCCTATGTGAGTCACAACCTTTGCGGAAAGGCAGCGTGTGATCAGTGTGAGGTTAAGTTGCAGAGAAGTCGAAATGGCATGGCATCGGAATGTTAAAGTGTACTGCAAAAGGTTGGTCATACTGACCGTCTGCGTTTTACCCTGGCCAGCCCAAGCGGCTGACCACTAGCACAAACACCTTAGGTATAGGATGAGGTCAGAAATAAAGACATACATTTGCACTCTATTTTAAGTCTATCGCATTGCACTCTAACACTCACGCTTTCATTAATAAATGATAAACATGACTTTCTAAAAACCATATCCCCTAGGGCTTGCCACATCAATTTGGGGCCGGAACGTAACGCTTTGTTTCTTGCCTTACTAGGCCAATTAAATTTCAGTTTAGTATTTAACATGCACTTCCTACATAAGAAAGTGTCGGTACATTGAGAGAGACTCGATTGGCGCATAAGTACCAATCGTTTAATGTCTTGGCTAAAACTCGGTGTGTTTTCACATAGATATATAAATAAACGAAATCGATGACATTCAAAGGTGTTAAGATTTATAAGCACGGTGCTGTCCAGCTAAAGCCATAGCGCCCAATAGCGGCAGTGAGCCTTCCAGCTACTGCTCAAAAGTGGGCAAACCCGCAAAACCGAGCCCCCAAAAAATCCCGACCGCACCAGCTTCTCAGCCCTACTGCAGCCGCCAGTACCCGCACACCTTTTGACGAAAGTGATGGGCCGCCCGATGCCGGACAAAACTCTCCACGAAATATATGACATAACTCTAGTATGGCTCTTCTTCCGGGCAATTTTTCCTAACGGCAACTCATCCCAATCAGTATTTGAAAATTAGTGGAACGCCCCACCCCTCCTCAATCGCCATCACTTCCTTTGGTATCCCCCGTCCAAACCGGGTTCACAACCAAATCGCCGTGGGAGTTCCACCAGTTTTGTCCGCTCTTTTTTTTGTGTTCCTAGCGACGCTGACGCCTAGATGAAACGACATAAAGCATTTACGTGGAAATGTGAATATGATAAAACCATCGACCTACACTCCCAACATTATCCCGACGCTACCAAAGCTGTAGCATCTAGGGACCAGAATATCAAAAAGCCAATCCAAATCTCAAAACCTAGAATAATCAAATACTGAGTTTTGGAATTAGGATTGGAATATTTCTGATATTGGAGTCATCAGAAATATTAGTGGTAGAACCGGTAAGATAGACCGGAACTCCCGCGTGTGAGAGAAACACTCAAGTAAATCCTGAGTCTAGTGAAAACACAAATAAAGACTCAGTTCAGTTCTCTCAAGCTAGGGACTTTTCCTAGCTGAGATAACTGCACTTGAGAAGAGGTCTATTGTAACCTATTGTCTCATATCTTTCAGCTACTCTCCATACTCTACAAAGCAGCTTATCTATTCTAAAACCAGATATTCGTCGAGTGAATTCGATGGATCAACGCAATGTAGTATTGGCTGTCAGGGACAAAGTAAAATATATGAAGTTATATGTGTAGTAAATAATATTATCCCCATAATAGGTTTTAAGCTAAGTCCCAAGTTGTTTGCTAACAATTTTTACACTACGACTTTTGGTTCTATTTTGCTTATAATACTACGTTTTTAAGACTTTAAAGTGTATATATCTTCATTTCTGAACATACAATTGTTTAATATCTGCGTTTGAGCTAATGTTCAATCACCTGGGTTGGCCAGGGTGAAAATTCATATGGACAATATAAGGAACCTTATGCAGAAGACTCTAACACTCCGATGCTAATATAATTCGACTTCAGTGTTACTTGTTTTCACGCTGATAGTATAATGCTCTTCAGCATAAGCTGCTACTTACATAAGAGCACTACTGCATTTTTATAGATTGCTACGGCTAAGAACAACTGCTGCGGTTACAAAACGGAATCCACCCTCAAGAGTATGTTAAGGAACTTTGAGTCTCGGGAGTGAAATATGATACTTTATCAACTCTCAGGAGTGAGTTAAGATACTTCGTCAACTCTCAAAGAGTGAGCTAAGATCTTTATCAACTCTCAGGAATGAGTCAAGAAACGCAATCAACTTTTGAGAGTGGTTCAAGGAAATCAATCTACTCTCGGGAGTGCGTCACAATAAATTAGCATATGAACACCCTCAATTTTCCAACTCGTTCCCTCGACTCATCTCCTTTCTGTGATGACTTGGAAATATCTCTGAATTTTCAAATGCACTGAGTTGTGGTATAACCGTCCCTGAAACTATCGAAGTTGATTTGCACTCTGTTTCATATAGTTTATTTTCACGCACTGACATTTACAGGAAGTACTCTGATATTGTCAAATCTGTTGCGAGATAAAAATACAATAAATGAACATCTTCAATTTCTCAACTCGTTTCCTTGACTCATCTCTCTTCTCTCTTTCTTTTTTTGTGAACACTGCTGGCGCCATACAGAGGGAGGAAGATTTGTATTGAAATGATATTTAAGTGCACAACTATAAGAATTCCGGAATCTCCTGGTGACCAAATTTCGTGTGTGATAGCTCACTAGGCTCACTATGAAGGCTTGATAGTTTTCGCCAACTACTTGATACAATTTAGTTTTTGTGGCTCCGAAAGCTTTATACAGAAATAAACACAACGTTCGGTCGGGTTGATTAGATATTAAACAGAATAAAATAGTGCTCTCATTTGATTATGTGGGGTTATTTTCCGCACGACACACAAGTCTGCCCCTTCCCCTGGCCTAATAGATGTATAGACAGGCAAGATCTTGGACAAATGCTGAGATCTCTGATAACCTTTATTTACGAACCTCAAGCCTCCAGATTCTACATTTCAATTGGAAGTTCACTAGCAATTTTTCTGGCTGAAATCCTGAGAGCTCCAAGTTCCGAGTGTATTATACGTGGTAAAGGACCTTTTGTTTTGTTCTACGTATATTTTAAATCTGAAGTATATAAAACTTTGACTTTTCTTTCCCTCTGAATAAGTATATAAGTGCATTTTGAAAATGCTTCGTTATTTCACCTCATTGAAGGAGGCTATTTGTTATTTAAAGTTAGGAATTATACACTTTGTATGATGTTTGTACTCAAAAGCACCCGTTGTGTGCACAGAATACTACAAGCTGCTCTTGATTTTTGAGTTAAGTGTTCTCACCAATTCACTAGGCACATCAACTATTCGATAGATATTTTTTTATTTTCCCTCTTCGGTATGTAGGCTCAAAACCGCTGCCTGAATATACTGTTGCTCAAACTCCCGAGTCAGAGTACATACCTGGCTCATAAAGCTCATAAACTGTCCAATGGAACGAGCTCCACATCTAGCACGGTCATTTGCAAATGATATCACTTTCACAACAGACATTCTATGCTCAACACCCATTTTGGCGCGTCGAGGGTCTTCCCGGTCCTCTTTGACACGGCAGATCAGCATCTACGTGCATATTAGTTCTAGAATTGAGTCTCTTACTTCAAAAAAAACCTGTGCCGTTTCCGACGTCGAAAAAAAATGTCCGACAAACAATAAGGCACAAGCAACAACTCCAAACAGCAAGCTGTGATCTTTTACTATATTTATTTATATGTTAAGAATATGGTCCAGTGGCCTATTCCAACGAGTGTATTTTCTAAGCCTTGAAAATGTCGTCAAGAGGGTCTTCGGGCATATCGAACGTGGCCACCTTCTCATCGTACTTGGCCTGTGCATTCTGCCTCAGTTTGTATTTCTCGCTGTGGGCATTCTTTATCTCTGATCGAAGCTGTGTGTATGTTAATGCGACATGAGAGACATTGAGTTGAAGAGAAAATACCTCTGATGATGTGGGTATATACATCAGATATCCGTATCCATATCTGTGAGGCAATCATCGCTCCTATGCATTTTATTGCACAACACATTAAAAAGCACTTACAATTAAACAAACTAAGCTGGAACTAGTATGCAGGTAACCCATAACTCAACTAAGTTGCTATAAACAAGGGACCACCCAGACGTGGGCTTATTCGTACAGCACCAGGAGTTATCAGGAGGAAGCAGTGCCAGGATGGGATTCATGCTTACATACCTCATTAGGTGATCTATATTCAGGGTTCTCATACAGCGTCTGTCCGCCAAAACTCCCACTGAAAACTCGGATGGGTTGGATGCAGAATCGAGGACCAATCTCAACAAGAGAGGTGTCCGTGGTGCGTTTGGGTCCCATAGTTTTGATGATCTAAAATATGATGCAGAGGATGAATACGTGATTGCGGCGTGAGTATGAGTGTGGCTGCGGCGATTGGCATCCATCAGGTAGACACTAACTCGGTAAGTATACATATAGAACGGAAGTGCATCAGAAGTTCGCGACGTATCACAGCACTAGACATATAAAAGGGTTGGATTGAAATGCTCTTATTAGCACCGCTTCATGTTCTTTGGGATCATGTGTACATATTGTACTTTCATGAACACTATTCCATTCCGTACTTAGAGCATGGGTACTCTGTTTATATGACAGTGGTAGAGTGAAGGCTAATCACTTGAGACAGTACCTGATAATTCCTGAACCAAATACGACCGTCAGCGATGGAGAAACTCAGTACACGATCCACAAACGGTTTGCTCTTGGGGTGATGATACGGTGTGCCGAACGAGTGCAGCAAAAGCTCTTTGAGCAGCGCCCAATGCGGTTCGTTATCAAAGTTCTTGTCGAACGATAGGATGGGTCTCGAGCCCTATATGTACCGAGGATGCCAGAGATTAGAAGCAGTAAAGGGGAAGCTGCGCCATCTTGCTGTTTATACCGTTAACAGTGTTCTTATCGAGCTCTGTGTATGCAATAGAGGTGCATCTATTCGCACAAACACTCAACATGTATAGAAAAGGCGGTCATACCTTGAGACAATTTCCGGTCAGCTTTAGTTCACTCATAGTGTGTACGTTCTCCACCAGAAACTTTGCAGAGGGACCGTTGGGGGTCTTGGACAGCCACATGTACAAATCTTGCTTCTTCTTCATCTCTAGAAAGACACAGTTGTTGCAATTCTTGAGCTCGCACACCTCGTTGACAATGCTCAGCTGGTCCTTTCTGTAGGGCGGACGTAATACACAGACTGAGATATAGAATGGCAGTCATGCATACACTATTACTTCTATTTATATCGAACATGTACGCATAGATATGCATGCTCGGCCATTTCAGGTAAACGAGTTAAATTGCGGACGAACAATAAAACTACAAGGAGCCATAGTAGAACTACAACCGTGCGGAAGAAGCGTTTCCGATACACATACATATAGATGTACATATAGGTATGCAAATACACATCAATCCAATATCGACGCGATAAAACGCATTGAGCGTGCTACGCAGAAGCATACTGTTCTTCTAAAACAGTCCATTCTGTCTGCTCGTAGTCAGGAGTCGGAGTGGGCCAGTACAAGTCCATGAGACCATTTAGCAAACACCCAACAAAACGTTTACAAGATCTCGAACCAAAACTTCAATCCTTTGGCGTAATCCGTGGAGAGATCGGTTGCCGATACCAGGAAGTACACGGAGGTACAAATATTCCCCCAATTAGGCAAAGTACGTGTAGGTTGTACAGAATAAACACACATTGCCTAAACATGCGTGGCAAGCATACATATTACCATCTAGTGCATATACATACTCTATTTGGGAATTTATGTAAGGTGTTAGAAGCCCCATTCATCAGCACGAAATTAGCAATCATTCGCCTTTATATGAGACTGCACAGGTATATGCACATATGTCTATGTATATGTGTATATCTGTACTCACCACTCGGTACAACTTTATAATACATATACGCATGTACTCCTCATATACTTCACTACTAAAAATGTAAACATAACTTCTCTCGAGATGTATGCACATGCTTCCCTAAATACTCAAGATCATCTATATGAAACTTATAGATAAAAGCGAAAATCCAATCTCATAACATGCACAAAGCTATATATATATAAATATATATACATACATTATAAACATCTATACATACATATACAAACATACACACACATACACATTCATATACGTACATCAATAATGTCTACACTCCTATACTCACTCATGTCCAGATACATATATATAAGTCTATAACACACGTGCATACGTTAATATATATAATCAGATAGCAGTTTTAGTACACATATAACTACCAGTATATTTACATATATATATTTGTATATAAACTACACATACATACATGAATATATAAATAAATATAAACATATACATACACCTACACCTGCATCCACATATATATATACACCCACACATACACCCACGTCCACAGCCAACAATATATATAACATGCTATCACATAATTTTTTTTGGAAATAGGGGAATCGAACCCATAGATCGCAGTTTTGTGATATCCCCGTAGTAGCAAGTTGGTTAACCACTTATATATACACACAAAATATATATATATATATATAAGTATGTATATATATACATACACACACACATATATATATATATATATATATATTTATATATATATATACAAGTGCAATGTACATCCTTTCGAAAGTAACATTACATGAGTACATATATATCTGTCAGAAAAATAGCACATCTGTACCCATCATCACATCCACAAGAAGCACATGTAGAACACATACTATTTGTTCAGAGCTCCGTTCAACGTACATGCTGTAGCGAATGAATATTCACATCAGCAGAATCAGCCCATAAACATGATTACAAATTGAAAACCCGCATTACTATCACATACATATTCTATAGAGACCACAAAAACACACACTCACCTGTCCAGCTTAACATCGTGCTTGCTGTGCGGTGTCAGATCCCTCAGGTCCGTCAGCAGATGTCTAGCTCGGAAACTAGTGCCTCTCGATGAGAAGATCAATACCCTCTGCTTATTTGTCCACTTCTTATTGAGTTCACTAACTACACTTTGCTTCACCCCAGGTGCAAGAGATACTGTGGTCTCAGCTACAACCTTCTCGGCTAATACTTTCTTAGCCTGTGTAATGGTCTTCTGTTCTTTCTCCTGCTGCATGGCAACGGCCTTGCGATTGCGTTGTGATTTGGTTTTCGTCATATTGATAGGGTACGTTGTACGTTATGTATGGTAGATATGCTATGTAAATATATTAAGGGACAAGCAGTTATATGCAGGTGTTTATTGTATACTATTAAAGCAACACCTAGATAAGCTCAGGTGATAGTATTGGGATTGGCAAGCAACGTGTACGCCTATATCTATTTCCCTGAAAGGATTGATCGCAAAATGATACCCTGCTACAGAACTTGACATTGATATTTATTTTAGCACGTGTATCCAAATACTACCAGAAGGCTGGTTGGGTTGTGACGTATAGGGTATGCCGAGTTTCCGACGATGCAAATTAAATTTGAAACATGATGTCGTAAATGTTGAGCGCATTGGTTGTAGGGAAAAAGGGTTCAATCTATTTACGACACTGCTTTAGATTTTTTTTTGGAAAAAATATAGAATATAAAAGTGATGACTCATTGAAGATCCCTTGATAAGACACGTATAAATAAATAAGTAGAGATTGATGTATTACACAGTTGTTAATTGTATGTGAAAAGGGTATCACCAATAACAATGCGAGATAAATACTATAGAAATCACTCCAAACGTTGTATGCTAATAGTTGATGCGTAAGACTGTTCTTGCGTAGAAAAGAAAAGCTAACAAAAAATTGTATATATACCTGGGTTTACGACATTCGATCGATACGGGGTGTTACAAACAATTCGGATAACCTAATATAGGGGATATATAGGTTTACAATAATATTGAACTTATAGATAAAATAGAAATAACAGTATTGATGTATATTCATTTAGTATCGTCATTACGGTAGTAGCAATAATATCCCTTTCGCATCGGCACCAGCACATTCAAGATGGTGGCAGTAGATAGGCAAGAGCTAGCGGGAGCTGGCTCTGCCGTGGACAGAGGTCGCGCCAGCACCCCTATATTCGCACCCATGGCCGTATGCGAATTGATCATTTCGACCAATTTTTCATCGATTTTTATGTAATAACAGATGAATTTGTAATTTTATAGCTGACCTTTCAGTTCAACCGTCACACAGAGCCGTACAAGACGCACCACGAGTTTTCAATGCAATGAGTGTGCATAAACTTACTACCTTCAATACAACCTTATAGTCTTCTACTTCTTCGAGCGTAACTTGATGTATTCTAAATAGAGTTAACACAAAAACGCAATTCATCCATCAAGCTGCTGAACAACTTAGAGAAATGAAAAATCTCCGAGGTACCTATAGTCGATTCGCTGTCACCATACTCTTGAAGGTCTGCGAGATGATATCAGTCTTTTCCACTCTCCCCCCTAACGTACGGCATGGGATTGCAGTTTTTCTTCTTCCGCGCCGTCAATTGATAAAATCCGGATGTTCAAATTCCCAATCATTACGAGTGCATCCATTGCAGTAGTCGCCATAGTTTCCACCATAAAATTTATTAAAACTCCAACTCATCATAGTCGATAAAGTCCGGATGCTGATAATCCCAATCATCACGTATACATTCATCGCAGAAGTCACCGTAATTCATTCCACCACCAAATTCAGTGAAACTCGTTGAGCTAGAGCATCTCCCACAAGTGGAACAAGTTACACAAAGACATTCCGTACATAATATTCTCCTACACACGTTGCATGCGGACCAGAATATATAGGGTGGGTCGTCACCCTCTGATCTTCGTTGCTGGGCGTTCCATACATTTGCACATCTCTCACACTTCGAGGGTACAAATTTGCTTAAACGCGATACCACTTCCGGTGGCAGGATATCAGCAAAAAGACCTCGTAGAAATACTTCCATGCTTGCTTGTATTAAGCAATATGATAGCTATATTCAAGTTGAGAGTAGCAATCCAGGTTTCAGTCATTTAAGAAGATATGTCTTGACCAGAAATTCCGCTTAAAACCAGGATTAACAAGCGATACAAGGTGTACAAATGAGTCAATTGGTAATCCCCGCTGAATTAATTATATAATCGCTTTTATGGTCACAAGGTGACCAAGGAAGGGTAGGTTTGATTATTGATGGCATATTATATCAAACAGGAAAATAATCTCTGCTTTCATTCGTGACAGACAGTACATGGCAACTTTGATTTCGGTTATTTAGTACTGTTTCGTCGAATTTTATATACAGGTTGTTCATGTCCTAAATTCATTCGCATGTCAGTAGTAATTTTTTCGCTGTGGCATAATTATAAAGCACACATGTTGACAAAACCAGCACAATTTTTTTCTTGGTATTGTAATCTGCAATAACCTTGATTTCGTTTATTTGGTACTGTTTCGTCGGATTTTATATACAGGTTGTTTTTGTCCTAATTTTGAAATTTCATTCGCATGTCAGCAGCAACTGTTTCGCTGTCGCATAATTATAAAGGACACATGCTGACAAAACCAGCACAGAATTATTCTTGATATTGAAATCAAGTTCTTTACAGATAGAGCCGTAGCCTTCTCAGTTTATAATGCACAGCCTCACAGGTAGTGATATAAGCATGTTACGATAGCGCGTATGAAATTATAACTAAACTTGCATCACTGAAAGACTGCGGGCAAAACAACTCCGGTAAACTAAATAAACCATTTGCTTCTGCCTGGCGCCTTCCTCAGTCTTCCACATCAGCATGTGTGCTATTTATATAATTATGTTTATTTAAATACATATTATAAGGCTGATGAGTGCTGACAGTGCTGATCATAGCCTTATATTTTAATCAGAACAGCTGATGCATTTTTAATGTTTTGTAAAAAAACCAACAAAAAAAACATGCTTACATTTTTGAGAGCTCAAATGAATGTTGATTTTCCAATGTGAAAGAACTTACTAGAAGACAGTAGAACTCAAGAGTCAAGACAGGCTTTCAAAAAGCCCTATGTGTTGTGATTGGTCGTCACTGTAGCAACTATTTACATACCCGGTTTCTGTGACGTCGTGACTTGTGACGACGATGTGGTATCGGTATTCGCCTTATTCGGTCCAGCACTCCAGCGAGTCCAGCCTCCAGGCCTCCAGCAGTCAACATTTTGAACAAGCTCCTGCGACCTGCGACCTGCGGCGGGTCTCCTTCGGACTTCCGCGGGGCTCCGTCACCGTGTCGGCGTGTCCAGGGGATTTTTTTTTCTTAATACATAAATATAATATAGAGATGTGAACATATATAAATAGAAATATATATAAAAATAGTACATAAACAATAACCGGGGACGGTGTGGAATACGTTTCTCAGTTTATGTCGCAACATCATCGTCATTTGCTGGTCGCTGTATTTCAATATATAAATGAGCGGACCTGGGCGTAGACTGATAAATTTATATATTGGTTAGCACAACAACACCAGTGGCTTTACTTTGATATTCATACTCAGGAGCTAGTGTAACAGCGTATGGAGGGGTGACGTAAAAAATCATAGAAGGACAGACCAAACTATCCATCGATCGATATATGTTATTCCTGGTACAAAATAGACGAATTCTAGGAAAGTGGCAAGCGATATCGTCATGAGGATACGAAAGGAGATGAAGACTGGCGTGTTGACAGTGGCTGCTTGCTGTTTATGTCGTAAGTAAATCCCTACCACATTACGGAGTGGGAAAGCAACGCAACATAGGACATATTAGAAATCATATACAAGAATGCTTGAATAATATATATATATATACATACATACATACATACATACATATATATATATATATACATATACATATATACATACATACATATATATATATATATATATATATTATAATAATATATATATATAATACA